CTCATAATTTTTATCAAGCTCTTCTTAATCTAGACGTGTAAGGACGAAGAATCCTTCACTTCTGATCAATTTTTCAATGTCAATTTTTCATATCCACCGAGAGCGAGAGTAGCCATGGTCGGGACTTAAAATACGTCCAAGAGCCATAACAAGGACCGGAACAAAAAAAAAAGGATTTTATGCGTGTCTACTTCTTACTGATTAGGTTTTCTGACATGTTCTCGAGCGCAATAGGAGTTTTGCTTGCATATATTACGATTGAACTTTCCCGGGCAACGTCAGGTACTTCCGCTAGTAGCAAGTATCTACTGTCGGCAGGACGAACTTGATCTTCGAAGAGGCGTCCCCCATGCTGGATAAAATATTGAACAGTAGAAGTTATTTTAACAATATTGTTTTTCTTTATCGTCTATTATTTAGAAAGTCTTAAGATTGTACGTGTCTTTTGTGCGACATCTCTTCTTGTGAAATCGTCATCAGAGTGTCATGTGTTGGTTTTTTCTTCAAGATGAAAGCTGGCGCAGCGAAGGAAGTAGAAAAGTTCGAAGGAAGAAAAACAACTCATGAATTAAAAAAAAAAACAGAAAAATGATGACTTCAACATTTTAAATTGCACGAAATCGATGGGTTTTTTTCGTCCTTTGCATCAACATGAAGTGATACGTCATTTTCAATAATGTATGATTAACCGTATGTTTTGTCAAGTAAAAAGAAAAGAATGAATTTTAAAGCTTGTCTTTTAATCTATTAATCATAATTTCTTTCTTTAAATTATAAAGTAAAATTTTATCAATATTCATTAATTTATAGTCAAAATTCTTTTTTTATGAGGACACTTGGAAGCACTACAGATTTGTTTTGATTCGATGAGTTTTTTTTTGTTTAAAAATACAATACTACAAAACGAATATATCTGATCTGCGTTCGCCAGATAACGGTGGTCTTTGTGTGATAATATATATGACCTGACCTACTTATACAAAAATTCAGAATATATTCTTTTAATTCTCTTACAAATGGCATGATGATTCCTATCGTTACAATATCATTTTAGAAGTAAATTTCTATGGTATAAAGAGGTATGTTCAAATTTCCAAAAAAGAAAATTTCCAATAACACGTAAACTCATAGAAAAGTATTCTTGAAAATTTGGAAGTTTAAAGAAATTTCCGAAAGTACAAGTTATGGAAATTTCAAAAATTATCAAATTTTTCGAGGCAACGAAGCTTTTAGAGGTGTCACTTCCAAAATTTCCGCAATTTCCTTTTTTGGAAGTCTGAACACTGCTGGGTATAAAAACAAAAAAAAAGTGTAAAATCTTACTTTCAGAATTGACTTAAACATCTTTATAATCTTACCTCACAAATTTTTTCCAGATAAGTTTTTAAATAATTTTTCAATTTATTATACAATTCACCACCAACAATATTTGCACCATCATGTATATTATTTTGTCGATTATTACCACCTTGTTTTGGTGTTGATTTTATTGTTGGCTTTGTTGCATATCCATGTGATTGTGTATTTGTACAATAATTATAAACTTGACTAAAAACAAAATGTTCAGATAGTAAAATAAAAACAAAAAAAAAAACATAAATAATAAAATTATATTTACCTATAAAGGTCCATATATGCTGCAGCTGACATTTCTTGAATTTTATATATATGCTCAATACCTTCGGATACTTTTATCCAAACATCATTCAGGTTCAAACTACGTTCCATATGTGACATTTTTTGTGTAAAACACTGTAGCTGTAGAAAAAAAAAATAATATGAAAATAATCTGACGCAGATAAACACTATTATGATAGGATGACATGACTCATAATCGTTTTCCAAATGGTTGCGTAACAACATGAAATAAATATTTCAGAAAAACTTATGTTAATTCCTCATCTAGCATACAAACCTTATTCGATTGAATAATATTTTGATGATAAGAAAATGATTTAACAGACTAGGATTGTTTAAAAATGAAATTCACTTTGTTGCCTTGTTTGTTTGTCTACTGCCGTCTCTGTAATGTATAGATGAATAACCAAATAAAATGGAGAAAAGTAATGGGTAAACATGTTTATACGAATATATAAGGGATCTAACGACAAATTTTAGTGGAGTATTTTTCTAACCAATAGAATTTTTGTGTTAAATAAAATATACGTACAGATTAATAAAGTTTTCTTGCGAAATTATTTAGATGATGAAAATAAAATAAAAATTGATTTAAAAATAATATCAACTTGAATATTTATTTAAAAAAAAATTGATTTAATTTAAATTTTCTTGTTTTCTTTTGTAAATCTTAAGTTAATTATATTGAATTAGTTTGTAATGTATGGTTCATATGAATAATAATATATTAGTAAGTTTCTTATTAATTATCAATATTGAATTATATTAACAAATGATAATAGAACAGTGTAAGTTAAATTTTATTATTTTCTATTTTAGTGAATTATGATCAACATCATCATTTTTTAAATTCAACGAAATTCCATACGTATCTCAATACCAAACTTCTTCTGCAATAAGGATAATATGTATCTGATACTACAAGTCTATTAATTTCTCTTGACTATAGATTTTTCTTCAAGATTTTCTACTTGTTTTATTTTGTATAAGTTGATTAAAATTAAACAAAAGCAAAGATAAATGCTTCGTGTTTCTATGAAAAAAAAAGAAGTTTGAACACAACCGAATTGTTTTCATCTGACTACGATTTTACAATCAAATATCACCGTTTCATTTGGAAAATCGTAGTTTCATTGTTCCATTAAAAAATAAATACAATAGTGACAAGGTAGTGTCTCAGATTTGTTCGTGATGACGTTGGAGACATCGAGAATGTATCTTATGTACAATATTATCTTTACATGTCTAAAATCGTACATCAGTAAAAGGCAAGATAAGCAAACGGATTAGGAAAATGTGTTATGTAATAAGTTATATTATTTATTATAATAATTTGTGCAAAAATTCTACTATACGAACATATCTTACGATTAAGTTGCATTTTTAAAACTTCACTACTAGAAATTCAAATAGAGCTACTCTTTGTAGAACTGATCAGTCCATGACATGCTATGAACTTCTTCAACCTGTTTGCCTGCCTCTCATTTAGTTGAGAATGTCAATCGCGGTCGATGTACTTTTGTTCTTACATACTGATATCATGACGATTAGTGGGTGTAAGTAGAAAACTACCTCTACAAGAAAACAAGAAAGTCGTACATATCAAAAATGACGTCGCTATACGAAATATTCAATGGTTTAATACAGTAGGTAACTGTCAAGGAAAGACAAAAGAAATACGACATTAACATAAAGAAAAAAACTTCTGTTTCTGAATGCATTGAGTGAGCTAGTTGAAAAAGACACATTAGGTTCTGCCCTATTACAATCATATAAATGTCAATCAGAGCCAATACGAATTAGTAAATAATTCATATTAAATAAGTCATCGATTACACTATGCGTACAGCAACTCACGGAAATCAATAAATAAATTAAATAAATACATAGACAATGAATAATATAGTCACAATGTATTATTAGGCATGATTATGTCTAATAAAAACGATGAAAACAAAAAAAGAAAATTATTTCTCTGCTTCCATTGTCAAAAACTTGCCACTGTATATTATGATCTTTATGTTTTCTCGTGAAAAGAAAACAAAGTTTCTTTTTTTTTAATTAGGGAATATATGACAGGTAAGCGATCAGACTGAATGGTTTGTTTGAGCCTCCGTTTGCTGCGCTGTTCTCGAAGGATTAACAACTACGATTTTTTCAAAGATCCAGGTGAAGCAGATTATCTTCAATCTGTTCTATCGCATTAATGTACTAATAAAACCTTAAGATGTCACATAACGTGATTTTTTCATAGGTTTCTTCGTAAGTAATTCAAAAGAAAAAAAACAGCATGTCATAAATAAATTTTATATTAAAGGTGTCGAACGTATTTAGTCTGCTTCCGAATATTTTAAGGGTAATTATACCAATTCAAAATATTATACAAAAAGAGAGTTTTTGCTCATTACAGACGTGTAATTTATAAATTAAAAGGTTTGAGAATCTCGCGTAGCTTGGCGTTTTCTTTGTATAATTATTTTGCATGGCTCATTCTTGTAAAACTTGGGTTAATAATATAACTCATATTATTGAAAAGAATCACATTTTATCTTTCATATTTCATGAAGACTCTGTATACAATATTTCTTTTTCAGTCAATTCACACTATTCTATTTAGAATAAAGTAATTCTAATAAATTACTTAAACCACTGTTACACCTGATAAGTGTTTTTTTTTCTTGTTTTTCAGATACCAGTCTTTTTTTGAAGATAAAAACAAACAGTTGACCTTTATTATTAAACCAGAAGGTATGTTAAAATAATCCCTTCTTTTTTACTAAAATGTTTCTACTTCAATGATTCATTTAAATAATTACTGTTAAAGTCATGGATGTACTGCATAGAAAATATTCAATTACTGAGTCGCATAATTATCAATCGCAATATAAAGAAAAAAAAAACAAGAAGAGGTGAACATAGAAAATAATTGACTAGGCGAAGGTCATCAGGCGCACGTGCATGCAAATGTCTTTTTCTCACTTATAGTCGACATTTTTTTCTCTCTCTCTCCCTTGTTCCATTTACTCATTTTTTTTGCATTGCCTTATTTGATCATATACACATGTCTTAGAGATAGAAAAAACAAGAGAATAAAAGAAACAAATCGAGTAAGTCTGATATTTACTTTTCTAAAAGAATGAATCGAAAAAAAAATAGAAAAAGCAATCAATTAAATCTTCAGAATTTATTTTTGTCCTCAGACAAATACACCTCCTTAAAATAACGATGACAGAATGTGTTTATTCGAAGATCCGATATATATATTTTTTTTTATTGTATTATAGCCATCAATCTTGTGGCAATAATCGTAAATGTTTTTATTTTAAAATTATTTTTTTTTTGATAAAGAAAAGAAACAAGAAATGAAATTTGCCCAACATTTATCAGCCCATGTGACACCAGAATGGAATTCACAATATATTCGATATGATGAAATGAAAGAGTTACTTGCACAAGCTGTAGCTAAAGCACAACCATATGTTGATGAAAGTGATAACATTTTACGTGAACAATTTTTTTTACGTGTTGACGAACATTTCTTTCAAGTAAGATAATCAAATAAAAATTTCGTAATTCTTCTTTTTTTTTTCGTAATATAGTATTGTGAAAAAGAAGCAACAAAAATCAATACTTTCTTCGCAGAAAAACTTGCTGAGTAAGTTGAAAATATTATTTGAATATATAATTATTGCAGTACATAGACGAAACACAGTAGATCAATGCTCTTTCAACATAAAAGTTTAGTAGAGAGAGAGAGTGCGTGTGTTTTTTTTTATCTGAATTTAGACGTCATAGTTTTCATCATGTCATAAGCATTGTAAGAAAGTAGTATTTGACTTTTCTCTTTCTAACGGTAATAGTTAAAATTTGATGTTTATCGTTTCTTGAACGATATTATATGACGCACTATGCGTTATGTACTTCCTTGCATCCATGGCATGTATAAATTTCTACTTTCTATTGACATTACAACTTATTTATTCTTTTTTTTTTAATATTATCAATGCATTATTGATTCTTCCATTTGATTACTCATTTTGTAAGAATGTTCGTTTTTCGTGATCATTCTTATTGTTATACTAGTTCATAAATTAATTATTTATCTTTAGAAATAATAAAGAAATTCATTGAATGTATATAAAAAGTGATTTAAACTACAAGAATTACGAGTTCTTCAATCATGTTTTGATATGAACAAGATCATGTTCTTTCGTATTTATCATTGGAAAGAATCAAATAAAGAATATTGATTTGTGTAAAAATTCATGAACCAAATAAATCTTTAGAAAATTTTCAGAAAATAACAATTTACAGATTTTATATTGTTTAATTCGTACAGTTATATCATATATTCGAATCAGTTGTCGTCTCATATTAAACATCTAAATAAAGTTAGACTTTTTATGCTTGTTTATTATTTATGTTTCAATACTACTATTGACGAAAACTTTCATCAAGTTTCATATAGATCGACATTCTCCCTTAAGTTTCTCTATTCGAAGTTAATTAACAAATTCTTTTTAATTTTCGTTCAATGAATTCAATTTTATGATTTTTAGAGCATCAAGACGATGGGAAACATTAAGCAATGAAGTTCTACAAATGGAACAAGCACGTCGATTTGGACATCGTCGTCCAGCAATAGTACCTGGTAATACTCCTGGAAATGATCAAAATATTGGTGTTACTAATACAGATGGTGTAAAACTAACAAAAGTAAAACATCGTTCAGGTCACAATGAAGATGATAATGCAATGACACCATTAACACGTGTATTACCTGAACGTTTAATTGAACTAACACGTGAAAAACAAACACAACGTGTACAATATCGAAAAAGAACTGATTTAAAATTAGCTTTCAGTGAATTTTATTTAATGCTCGTTCTAGTACAAAATTATCAAACACTTAATTTTACGGGTTTTCGTAAAATATTAAAAAAACATGATAAATTATTTCGAACAATTCGTGGTGACGAATGGCGGTAAGAATTGTATTATTAAAAAAAGAATTAAAATAAATTATTATTTTTTTGTATTGATATTTAGAAAATTACATATTGATTCAGCACCATTTCATACATCTCAACATGTTAATCAATTAATTAATGATGTTGAAGTGTTGTATACTGATACATTCGAATCAGGCGATAGAGCTCGTGCTATGAAACGTTTACGTATACCACCACTTGAAGAAAAACAATCACCTGCTGTTACATTTCGTGTTGGACTCTTTGTTGGTACGATTTTTTCTAGACTGAAACAAAAAGAAACATAATACTATATTTATTTATAGGAATGCTTTTTCTACTACTTCCAACGGTCATTATACTTTGTTCACACCTTCACGACAGTCAATCAACAAAACCATTAGCTTGGCGACAAGCATTATTTTTATATCGTTCAACATTTCTTGTTGTTCTTCATATTGCTTTAGTTGGTATAAATGTTTATGGTTGGTCATCATCTGGTGTTAATCATGTACTTATATTTGAAATTGATCCAAGAAATCATTTAACATATCAACAATTTCTTGAAATAGGTACATTTTTATTTGTTATTTGGTTTTTAAGTTTTACTGGATTTATTCTTTCATCTTATTATGATTTTCATCCATTTATTCAACCACTTATTTTTTTAACATTGATTCTTCTTTTTTTATTTAATCCAACACCTACACTTTATCACCATGCACGTTTTTGGTTTTTAAAAACATTACGTCGTATTATTTGTGCACCATTTTATCGTGTTGGTTTTGCTGATTTTTGGTTAGGCGATCAATTGACATCATTAGAATTAATATTTTTTGATATAGAATATTTTCTTTGTTTTTATTTTTATGATGTTGGATGGTGGCCTGTTAATTCAATGTCATCAGCACGTAGTATACTTTGTAATGGTTGGCCAAAAATAGTTTTACAAACAATTTTATTGATGTTACCATCATGGTTTCGTTTTGCTCAATGCTTAAGACGATATCGTGATACAAAACACAAATTTCCTCATTTAGCTAATGCTGGAAAATATGCAACTGGATTTCTTGTTATTAGTACAAATTCTTTACGTCGTGCAACAGCTATACATTTTCTTGATGATCCAACATCAAATCCATTTTTATATGTATGGATTCTTGCATCATTTATAGGTGCGACATATAAATTAATATGGGATTTAAGAATGGATTGGGGATTTTTTGATTCAAATGCTGGTGAAAATAAATTTCTTCGTGATCAAATTGTTTATCCATCAAAATTGTATTATTATGCAGCTATTGCAGAAGATGTCATTTTTCGTTATATATGGATTATAAATGTTTTTATGCAGTTTCGTACACATTCAGCTGAATATGCCGATGTGATTGGTTTTATATTTGGTTTAATTGAAATATTTCGTCGTTTTATATGGAATTATTTTCGTTTAGAAAATGAACATTTAAATAATTGTGGAGAATTTCGTGCTGTACGTGATATATCTATAGCACCAATGTCAACTGTATTTGATCATGGAACATTAGAAGATATGATGGATAAAGATAATGG